AGTACCACGTAAGCTAAAAAGAGATAAAATATTATTAATAAAATAAGTTCAGGGGGGTAATAGGACCTTAGTATAGTATAAGTGTGTCTCTGAGATTTCGGGCATAGGTTGAGGGGGTATTTGGGCATTATCCCTAAAATTTTCATACTTTCAATAATAGATATTTTATTTAATAAATATTATACATTAATTTAAAATTATTATAAAATTCAAAATCTCCAATCCAAATTCTAATAGTATGATTGGTGAAGGGATAAAGAATGAGTTTTCAAGCAAGTCAACCAATTGAAGTCATCCATGTACCTTATCCACTTAAGAGTAGTATTCTTGTATAAATTAAAGATTTGGGGTAGGGGTGGGCATAAAAGCCGGAAAACCGAAACACCGAACCGAATCGAAATTTTTCAGAATTTCGGTTTCGGTATTTCGGTTTTCGGTTCGGTATTCGGTTTAATTTTTTATATTTTCGGTATTTCGGTTCGGTTTTCGGTACATGTTACTTTGGAATTCGGTATTTCGGTTTAAACCGAAATATTAAATTATAATTTATAAATTATATTATATTTAATAATTATTAATATTAAATAATCTTTTTTAAAAAAATAAGAAATCCTAAGTTGAAATATCAAAGCCCATTAAGTTGAAATATCAAAGCCCATTAAGTTGAAATATCAAACAAAAAATTGAAAAAATTGTTAAGTTTAAAAAGCCCACTAAACAGGCCCATTAAAAAACCGAAATAAAAAACCGAACCGAATTAATAAAAACCGAACCGAATTAACAAAAACCGAACCGAACCGAAATATTTCGATTCGGTATTCGGTACGCAATTTACAAAAATCGAAAACCGAAAAAACCGAAAAAAAACCCGAACCGAACCGAAATACCGAATGCCCACCCCTAATTGTGGAAAAAGTCCAAAAGTAAAAAAGAAAATATACTTTTTTTTGGGGGGTAATTGAAATAATTTTGATGTGATATGAATAATGAAAGATGCAATGTTTCCAAATATTATTATAATTAATAATGATTTTTTCTTCTTCTCTCTCTTCATAGTTGGAAAGCCAAAATTTAGAGCAAAGACAATGAACTAATAATATGATATGTTTTCTTTCCAAAAATGGTTACTAGTTAGTTAGTATGTCCCTTGGAGAAAAGGAAGTAAAACCTTTTTTTGCTTTTGGAGGAAGTAAGTTGAATAGGTGGAAGCTTGTGAATAACTCACCATAAAGATGTCAAATAATTTAAGATGAAAAAAAAAAATTGGTTCAGTATATATGTGAAGGAAAATAATGAAATTTTGAAGTAAATGTAAAATTATTTACGTGTGATTTGGAGCTTGTTTGGATGGTTTTAATTTGACAATTATAAAATCAAAAATGATTTTTTTAAAACTAAAAGCTAAAAGCTAGGTGAGGGATGTTTTTTTTCAACTTAAAAGTCATTTTATGTTAACCATGTATATTACCTTTTTACCCTTAATTATTTTATTATTATTATTATTATTATTATTATTATTATTTTATTTATTTTTATTATTATATTATTAATATTATTAATATTTTTATTATTTATTTTATTGTTCTTTATTATTATTATTATATATTATTATTATTCTTTATTTTATTATTCTTTATTATTATTATTTTGTTATTATTATTGTTATTGTTGTTAATATTTTATTATTTTTTATTATTATTATTTATTATTTATTATTTATTATATATTATTATTATTATATATTATTATTATTTTATTTTTTATTATTTTTATTATTATTATTATTATTATGTATTATTATTATTATTGTTATTATTATTTATCATTATTATGTATTATTATTATTATTATTATTTTCATATTATTATTATATTATTATTATTATTTATTATTATTATATATTATTATTAATTACTTATGGATGTAAAATATATATTAATTTTGTTTCATTTTTTAAGTATAAAAACCTTAAATTAATCAACTTTTATCATGTTAACAACTTTTAAGGGTATTTCAGATATTTTGATTTAAAAAAAGTGTTTACTAGCACTTATTTGTCAAACACATCAACAACTTGTTTTTTAACTTCAGCACTTTTATTCAAACACATAGCTACTTATTTTAGAAATAAGTTTCAGTACTTTCAAAAGTACTTTTTAAAAACTACTTTTTTAAAGTCTATCCAAACAGGCTCTTGTTGTTCATGAGTTTTTGATTAATCACGTGAAATCAATCACTGATGCATGCTTCTAACAGGTTATCTACATCACATTTTAAAGGTCTATCAGGTGTTATAAATTTTGAATCTCTTAAACACCAAGCTAGAGGTTAACTTAATGATTTAGTGTATTCACAATTCACTTTAATTTGAGATTCGAAATTTAAACTTCTAGTACTACATTTTTATTCACCACTTAGCAATCGTCAACTGCAGTCTGTTTTTACTTTTAATTTTAAAATTGTTCGATTTGGTGTAGAGAAGGAGCGCAAAGTATAATATATATATATATATATATATATATATATATATATATAATTGATTCAATGATAAAACTTGAATTTTGATTTTGATTTCACCTCTAACATATGTTCACATTAAATTCGCAAAGAGTAAATTAGGCCCTACATTAATTATTCCTATCTAATATATGAGTGGACACCAACAAAAAAGTTGAGAACATCAGAAGGGTAACCATACTTGGGTGTCCTACAAATTAAACCAGTATCCAAAGTTTCATAAAATTATAATCCTATTTTGTTTATAGATTCTCAATAAATTATATATACATATCAAATGAGTTTTTTTTTAAACACAAATCTAATATTTGATTTTAAATTATTGAGTCTTATCGAATTTATAGCTAAAATTACATCTTTGCCCTTAAAAGTTGGGACCTATTCTCATTGAGTAAAGGCTTTACACACCATTATGAGTTGTGGTGTAGTGATGTGACTGCTCCATCCTTAACCAGATATTTTGAATTTTAAGTTATGACTATTGAGAAAATCATAATAGGAGTGTCAACCGAATAAGTCGTGTAGTGTGCGATCTAAATTCAGTCGAAGCTCCAATACAGGCTCCGACCCCTAGATGAAAAAAGAAAAGGCTTTACACAACTACCCCAAACAACTATGTTTGGGCCATACACCCAAATGATCCATTGCACCTGAAGATCAATCTGAATATTGCAATCTTCATGTAGGCCTAATTAATTGTGCAAGTTAGTGTTACAGACTTTCTTGCATAGTAGAGATGGCAATAGGACGGGACGGGTTTAGAGTGGGGCAACACATGCAGGGCAGCGGATTGAAACAAAATGAGTTGAATTATTATCTTAAAATTTTGAGTTGAATGCTTAGATTCTTTCGACATTTCATGAGCGAGATTTTCCTGAAAATGACAAATCCCTAAACCGAAAGAATTAAAAAGGCTAAAAATATACTTTTTTTTCTTTGAAATTTTAAATATTTTCTCAAAGCTAAGGACCTTGGTTGCTTCTAATGATATAAGTAAGCAATTTAAATGTAATATATTTGGGAAATTAGGATCATATGTAGTATACTAATCTAAGTTGAGGACCTATATATAGGAAACAACTTACTCCATAAAGATAGAGATAAAGTCTGCGTGCATCCTATTTTCTCAACAGACCAGAAAGCATTGGACATGTATCACTCCCTTCAGCAAACCATTTCTGAATCTGAAAAGTCTTTCATATGTTTGTCCAGACGCAATTACAACAGGACTATACATCAATCTCAAAGACAACAACAACGACATACCCAATATAATCCCACAAGTCGAATCTGGGGAGGGTATAATGAATGCAGCCTTACCCTACGTTGGGAAGATAAAGAGGTTGTTTCCAATCCACCCTCAGCTCAAAAGACAAGCATGTAAGGTAAATATAATAGCGAAGAAATCATGTTGAAAACAATGAAGAAGAGAAAAGTAGCAACGACGAAATAATGGGTAATGCTACAGTCGAATAATAAGATACTAATAATAACAATACTAAAAAGGAAACTAGATGACGCTATACCTACTAACCCTCTACCCTAATCTTCAACCTCCATAGTTACCTATCTAGAATCATGTCCTCGTGTTAGAGAGCCCCTCAGAACGTCTACTTCAGCACCGCCAAGTTGACATCTCTAATGAGAGTTCACTTCACACTGATTGTAAAATGGGTAAGAGTCTTCCTTATGAATTTGCTCTGTCACAATTGATTTTCCATGCTTATTAAGGAGCTTAAGAAATATCGATAAGATCCTCCTTTTCGTTGTTTCACCCTCGCCAACTCTATCCATCATCTCTTTTATGGATCTTTTTTCAATTGAAAGAGCTTTTAGAGATGTGATATGAAGCTTCCACATAGCAACTTGAATTGCCTCGAAGGCATATTCTTCAGCCGAATCTGTTGTGTTGACATACCGATGAAGTAATTCCTTTATAACCTTCCCTGCCTCCTCTTCAGATGGGTCCACGCTGAATATCGCACCCCTTAGTTCAGCAATCAGTTGTGATATCTGCAGCCAGTATTTGTCATTAAGGTGGATTGCCACCAAGAAAATACAATAGATAATTTCCATGCAACATAATGTGCAGCCAAATGAGCATTATGGACTTGTTCATTTAGTTGAAAATTCTACTAACTAGCATGCAGAAACACATCAAAAATTATGCAATCAAGACCACCAGAACAGAAAATATGCATAGATGAAGCTCTCAAAGGAATGTTTTGACTGACCTCGGAAGCCAGCGATACTGGAACCATATTTTGCACCTGGTTTAAGCTTTGCTCAAACATGTTTCTTGATTTCTTACATCGTGAGAGTATAGTATCTCCTGTGAATGCCTGGAAATGTAATATAGATTGTTGTTTAGTGACTGAAGATAATAGAGTACCTTCGTTGTGTGTATATAATGTTTAGAAATGTTACATTGGTCATGCAAACACTTAATTGTGTAAACTATATAAACAGAAGAATTGTGTTAGAAGTAGGAATGGCAATGCTATGATATGAATGTGCCTCTACCATCCTACCCGTCGCACATAGTCTTACTCTCTCTTCCTTGACTAACCTAATGTCACGTCCCGCCACCTCACAGTCAAATTTTGCACTTGGATAGGGGCAGAAGAGTCTAGAGTTGTGGAGAGGTTTGCAAAAATTGTAGAATCTTTTAGATTATTTAAAAAGGCTATAGAATTCCTTAGAATTCTCTAGAATAACTTAGATAATTTCCAACTAAGTCTTAGAATTTCCTAGAAAATGTAGAGAATTCTAGAATAGGATTAAAGTGTAAATATTTTAGGGACTTGTAAAATAATTATAAATTACACTTTAGCTCCTAGGTGTTAGAATAAATAGAGTTGCCACTCATTTGTAAATCATCCAACAAAGTATAAACAATCTTTCAAGTAATAAAAAGTTTTCTTCCTTAAGTTGTCAAGTGCCGCACGGAGCTTTAAAGTGTTCCTTAAGTTGTCACCAGTTCAATAAAGCTCAATTGACTAAGTTTCGGAGGAATGGGTTCAATGTAGCATTACATAAGAGATATATTTAACAAAAATAGTGAAGTATAGCTTATTTTGGGAGGTAAATTTAACCCAAAAAAAACTCAAAAAATAAATAGTTGGTTTAGCTTGTTCCAGAATGCATACCAAGTATAGCTTACTAGATTCACTGCAGTGTTGATGTAGTGTCTTGGCTTTGTCAATTTCATTGTTCAACCGACAAAGTATCTCTGTTCCGGAGCATCCAGGACGGACTGCTTCAATTTCAGGAAGTAATACCGAAACTCTAGTTACAAACTGAATTAGTTCCATGCACATTAGATGATGCACCTGTCATCATCATAACCAAGAGATATTAAGTTGATTTGCAAAAGGGAAATATAAGTTTAAAGCTTAAACGGAATTGACTAATAGATCAGTGCATTTAGAAATCTAACAATGTTCAACTACAAAATCCCATCTAACTATAATATTTTTAATAACCTTAGTGTCTGGCCAGCTTGTGTGCACTGCGTTAACACATGTTGTATTGGTTTCCTCTTCTTTTTGAGTTGTTCAATATTCACAATATCACATTCATTACTACAATTTCTTTTATTTTCTAATTGAACTACAATGATTCAATGAACATAATTATTACAATTATATAACTACCATAAATACAATTCAACCATATATTTATTATTGTACTCTCTTCGCATCCTCAAGTTGGAGCTTGAGAATCTCCAAATGCCCAATTTTCCAAGTAGATCATATTGCGACCTTCCAATACCTTTGTAAAAACATCAGCCGAGGAATATAGGATATATGACCGACCAACGGCTCATCTCGACATAGTGTCAAATAACTTCAATTTGGTTTCATGTGGGGTGTTCGACTATAGAAGACATAAATCAAATGATGGAGCGGTATAGGGAGAAAGGAAGAGCAGCTTACATATGATGTTTATTGACCTAGAAAAAACTTACGGTATCCCGAGTCTAAAGGCTTCAGGTTGAGCAAGACTAAAACAAAATTCTTGGAATATAAATTCAATGACACAATTCACGTGTCATACTCAAATGTGGTTCCGTCAGGCCTATGTTCATCAATCTTGTGTCCGATCCTCTGCCATCTTTGGTCACTATAACATTGGAACAATAATTGGTTCTTCCCTATCCAACGCCCAGACCATCTTTATGCTACTATGGTTGACCTCTTCCGTGGCAACCTTTATCTTTTCACATTTGTGTTGTTTGTCCATTCCAGGTAACCTGCGAGTCATTAGCATATTCTTAAAATGTGAACATACCACATTATTGTTTCTCCCCCTCACCTTGAGTCCGGTAAGTGGATCGTACTCGTAGTGCAAACGCCATTGTTCCACTCCTATCATCTTTTCCACAGGCGACACCCGCTCTTCCTGCACCATCTTTGAATAGACGGTAAAGAAGATTGGACCTCACTGTTCCATAGGTTGTTTCTTCTCTTACGATGTCTATCATTGCTCCCAGATTGCCTCCATTGGGACTCAAACCTCATAGTTCTCAACCCACTTCGTTGAACGCTAAGCCACACCCAAGGGGCCATTCTAACTAAGGAATCATTTGATGTAAGGCGTAAGATATAATAATTCTTGGACTCAAATGCAGGACTACTTTTATCCCACAATTTTTACCTTAGTGATGAGATATATAGTTAACTTATCTCGGGATAACTTATTCTCAACCAAACAACCCCTACTATTAGGGGGTCATTTGGTTTGAATACAAATTATGTTGGAATTAGTTATGATCGGAAAATGTTGAAATAAGTTATGATAGAGATTAGTTTTACTAAGATTCTTTTCCATTGGTTGTTTGGTTTGTCATATGCATGGCATAATTTCTAATAATAAGTTATTTGTTTGCAAAAATACCCTCTACGAACAAGTTGTTTTTTTATAAAAAAAAAGGTGTATTTTTGTTATTTAACATTTTTATTCCGAGGTAAATTACCTCGGGGTTAGTATTCCAGCCACAAGTAGGGATAACTTATCCCACACTTTGTAACTAAACAAAGAATTGAGGGGTACTAAGAACTTACCCGGAAATTATTTTTCTTTATCGATCACACCAAACGACAAAGTAAAACCTCTCATTACTGTCAATTTTTTTCTCAATTTCTCTCCCCTTAGGAATGCAAATAAGGAACTAGAAAACAGAGAAAAAGAGAGGAGGAGCTTAGTACTCATAATACCTTAATATCATGATGAAATGGAGGTGTCTCACTCACTTCAGCAGCATCAATCCACATGATAATTTCTGGTAAAAAAACACAAAACTTAGTGTCACATTTGACATACTACTAAATAATATCAACAAGAAGCAAATACAAAGAACAAGGGACCAAGAATATCAAGAATGCTTACCTAGAAGAGAAAAATACACAAACCCTTTTCTTCTTAAGATGTAAAAAAAAAACTTTATCACTAAGCCCAACACCACATTTTCAAGAACTCATAAAAATTCCCAGAAAAAATTTCAAAACTTGGGTTTCAAATAGAGATTTCTTTATATAAAAAGATTCAATTTCTCTCCTTATTTTTCAAATATGAGCCATTTCAAGAGAAACCCACAATCAAGAAACACATTCATTTGCATTTTGCTTTATAAAAGTTATAATCACTCAGCCTCAGCCTTTAATAAGCCTTTCAGCTGTACAAATTCAAGGCTTATAAAGTAAACTTTTGGTTGGGTCCAATTTATAAAGTAGTTATTTTAATGCTCTTTGAGGACCGTTTGGTAGGAAGTATTAATCAAAATAATCCATGGATTAAAATATGATCCAATAAAATTATTGTTTAGTTACTTTATTTAACTTAATCCATGGATTAGTTATACCTCATACAAGGTCTTATTTTATTCCTATGAAAGGGAGACACCTAATCCAAGGTTTAGCAATCTTTGAATAAAACCCTTACATGACTAAATTATCCCCAAATCTTTTTTTCTATTTTTTTTGTAATTCATGTTCTTTTTTTATTTATATGAGAATATTTATAAATGTTCGTTTAATTCTCCAAATTTATTTCATGTAATTTGATGATTTCACAAACTAATATTTTTTTCTCCATGTTTGAGTTGTTATATTTGGTTGGTTTTTTGTTTTTTTATTTTTAAATATATTTCGTCAATTGACCACGTGAATGATTTTTTTTATTTTTAAATAAGCTAAGCGTATTTGAACAATTTAAGTAGCCTTAAATTCATGTTAAGTTCAAGGTATATTTGACCAACAAAAAATTAGAAATATACCATGTGACATATCACACCTCAAAATTAATAATATTTTTATATTTTTTTAATATTTAACTTGACTAGTTGAATTAAACATAATCTCGCAATAACTAAAGGTATAATAGGAAATAAACTTTTTCTAAAGTTTTAAATCAAACATAAGACTAGGTAGGAAATAATGAACCAAACACTTGCTAAAAAATAATCATGCACTACTAATCCATGCATTACTAATCCATGCATTATGCATATTTGTACCAAACGACCCTAAATTCAATTAGCGCAAACCACTCATTTGATACCTTTTACAATAGTAAAATAAACCTAAAATTATGTTCGATGAAACTTAATACTTCCTCCGTAGCATTTATGTGGCAACATTTGACTCGACATTAAATTTTAGAAATAATGAACACTTTGAAATGTTTATCAAATTATCCTTTAAAAAAATAATTCACTTTTATCTCTTCTTATAAATGTATTAGAAAATTAAGTGGGACCAATAAGGATAAAAAAGAAATTATATCTTTAAATGCTTATCATATAAGAAAATGTGACATTCTTTTTGCAACTGACCAAAAAGAAAATAATGTCACATAAAATGAGAATAAAAAATAATTTTTAACTGAAAAATTTAAGGACGAATTAGATGTATAGTATTTAATGGCAGAGAATTTTCAGGTTAAAATATGAAGAAATAACTCAGAATAATGAAAGGAAATAAATCTCTATTATATGTATATAAAAATAATTTTAATCATATTCAAATAATATAATTTTTCACCAAAATCTCAGTTGGCTTTGACATCGATGGTACGTACTGTCCTACTGGGTTGGCTTTGACATTGATGGTACTGGATTTGAATTTGCGATAAACTATTTAATGAATTGAATATCTTAATATTAAAATAACATTGGGAGCAAAGTAATTAAATTGTGTCATATTCGTAAGCAACAATATAGCTCAACTATAAGAAGATTAATAATACATTTTTATTTATTTATCTTTTTGTTTTTAATTTTTCTCAAAAAATAATAATTTTTGATAATTTTTAAATTTTAACTTCTATTTAACATATTTAAAATCGTGATATCAAAACATATTTTATATGTTATACATGTTGAAGATTTGTAAGATTTAATATTATATTTATTTTTTAAATTTTGTACTATAATTTTAAAAAATATTAATATTGGAGAAGTATAATATAATTGACTATTAATACCTGAAGAAGACAAATGAATGGAAGAGTATAGACTTTTTAATTTGTACTGTTTTTCTTACTCACACATGGCTTTCCAAAGTTTATTTTTATATTCATATACAGAAAATTATATTTTTTCTTAAAAAGGAAAAAGGCTTAAAATTACTTCTAAATTATTGAAAATAGCTTATATATATCCTTAAATTATATTTTAGTTTTAAAATATCTTTTTATTAAAGTATTATGTAACTTTTACCCTTATTTTTAAGAAAGGTATGTCAAGTATCATATGGCCGCCATGTACCTTTTCAAGTGTTTTTCTTACTCACACGTACATTTTCAAGTGTTATATAAATATATATATATATATTAATTAATTTCATTACAAAATGTTATGACAGAAAGATGAAGATTTTGTAGGTACATCAATCTCAAATTTGTCAACTTGTTAAAACTCATTATACTTCACTGTAAGCTTTGTGTCCTTTCCTTATCTACATCTACCTCCATGGTCTGGCAAATTTCTTCAGTAAGGAAAAATGAAGAGACTCGTTTTGTTGATGGAATAGAAAAGGATGAAAAGGGCAATCTAGAAATTTTGTTTGAAGAAATGAAATTTGTTTCAGTCCAAGAAGCTGGAAAAGTTATGCTTTGGGAGAAGAAAATCAAAAAGCTGGAAAAGTTATGCGTTCACATGACATTCACGTGGCGTTTGCATGGCACTTAATACACCTCTGTTAAAAGTAAGGGTAAAAGTGACCCAATATTTTAACGAAAGGGTATTTTTGAACAAAAATATTATTTAAGAATATATGTGAGTTATTTCTGATAGTTCATGAATATTTTTGAGTCTTTTCTAAAATAAAAAAAAATGTCTCTAACTAGTTTGAATAACAATCCTCCTACCCTACTTTGTTTGAATATATTCTTAACTTTTTTTTATTATAAATATATCAGTACAGTGAAGTTGAAATTCATACATATTTTGTAAAAAAAAATTATTACACCGAACAATGATCAGTTAAACATAAGTAACAATATATACTACATTAAAAGAAATATGAGCATACGACAAATCAATTAAAAAATAGAGGATGAAGAGGCATTTTTCTCTAAATTTTTTATGATTCATTTAGTCTCAATATTCGGAAAATCAATATAAACAATGCACATTGTGGTCTTTATTTTTTTTCTTCTTTTTTTGATAAGTATATCTATGTATTTATGGTTTTTTTTTTTAAAAAAAAAAAAGATTTCAAAACTATTTTATATATATGCTCAACATATTTCTTTTCATTTTGTTAAGAAATATATTATTTTTTTCTTCACACACTATTCGAGTATTTATAGAAGATAAAAACTTATTCGTAAGAAGAATAATTGAATTGGGATTCATTTGTGCATAAATTTATATAAAAAATTTCAAAATCGCTAAATTGACTACTGATGTGAAAAAAAAAAAGAGAAACCTGAAACCCTAGTATTTTTAAATGTCACAGAAGAAGAAGTGTGTATCCTCGCAGGGCCATGAAAATTTAGCAAATAGAAAATCGAAGAAATCCATTGTTTATACGGAAAAAAAAGCTAGTCTTTGCAACGAAATTATTATTACCAACATAGAAAAGTTAAATCAGATTGGTAATGGAGAAGAAGAAGCTACCCAGGAATTCAATCTTTCGACATGCCATAAGAACTAAGGGTATATGTGAGTCATATGTATAGAAATAAGGGTATATATATGAGTCACTTTCATAATGAGGATATATCAACTCTAAAAAACAAAGTTTAGGGATATATCAAACTTTTTTTCCAAAAATTAATCAGTGATCTGGATAATTTGTTTAGATATAATTTTCTTTCGGTTTCTAAGTTAAGGAATTACAATGTTAATTATCTTTTCCTGAGTTTTGTGCTTTTCAAGATCTATTTATTGGTATAATATTTCGATGAAGGGTGTGCACCAGACAGTTCACCTAAGGTGGCTGGCTCCATCCATCTATAATTTAGTCTGGAGATGATCCATTTAGACCTCTGGAGTCCTTGTAACTCCTACTTTTGATGGTAACAACTACTTCCTAACTATTATGGATACGAAGATCGACTCTCCAAAATAATTGTCAAGTCCATATCGGATTCTCCAAAATGCACTATTTTTAGAAGTGTCTAACACACACCAAACATTTTTAAAGAGTCCAAGCAATATAGATGATACTAAATTCAGACTGATATTTCTGCAAAATGTAATAGGATCTATCTGCTCAGAGAATTGGTTTGACACATACATTGATTTTCACTCACACCAGGTGCACTTGTGTCAAGAAAATTGGTTAATGGATATAGAGTCAAACTCTCAAAATCAGAACTATGTCATATAAACTGGGACATAGGGAGTACAAATTAAAGTAAAAATACATAGAGTTAAGTAATAAAAGTATACGAGCAAGACGTGTGTGGTTAACTTTAGTTTTTGAAAAAAATCTAAAGTAAAAAAAAATTGTATTATAGTATCTTCCAATGCAATCCTTTACACGTTTATTTACAAGAAATCAGCACACTAGAGAGAGTTTCAAGCATCTATTTTTTACTTTTAGCAACAGAACCTTGTTTCGAAAATAACTTCCGGAGTAATCCTGGTACCTTTGAACTCGATTTTCGCTGAGTATAGTCAACGGTAGAGCCTTTAGAAATGTCAACATCTGCAACTGAAGATTCTCCATTATTATTAAACAGTCTCAGTAACTTCAAAGCCATTACCTTCCCGTTGCTACTTCCGTTGGCATATATATTGGCAAGATCAGAAAAGACTCGTCCATCCGTGTGGATGACAAGCCGACAGTACTGAATGCATTGAGAGCACAATGAAAGAAGGAGAGACACTGCATGCTCCTGATCCTCGAGACTATCACTGTCGAGTAGCTTCACAATTGAAGGAATGCATCCATCTGTCTCAGCTACGGAAGCTGTAGCAACTTCAGTGATGCAAAGATTATTCAAAATAATAAAGAGTGTCTCTTGCTAGAGCTTTATCTTCTAGAAAAGGGATCAACTTCGGAATGACATCTGAAAGTGTGATGAATGAAACAATTATGCTGTTTCCGGACAAGTTACATAATATTTTGATGGCTGGTTCGTGCAATTCTCTGTTCTGGTCATCAAGCATCTTTAAAATGGGAGTCAGAGCATCCGAAGCCATAATTTTTTGTTGACAATATTGATGGCAGGACAACACCTTCAATACAGAAAGGGCTTCTTTGGAAACATCCGTTCCAAGAAATGATACCAGAAGTGCAAAAGTGTCGTCATTCAAATATGCCAAACTGCTCCTGATATGAAAAAACCCCGTCTAGGATTAGTGTGAGGAAACAAAAACAAGACTAAAGGGGCAAGAGAACCCAAAAAGTAAACGAAACAGCGGACAAGTTGAGCTTGCATCATTGACTACAACTTAAAATCCTAGTATCGTATTCAAATTCTGAACCAGAATGCTTCTGAAAGGGCTTAACCAATGGAACAAATTCATTTCACACTCTAGTAAAGCATTAACTTAAAAAGCGTAGAATTATAACACAAAGGGGGCGGGGTAAAGGTTTACCTGCATTTCTGCAGAACAGTTGATAATGATAGACATCCCAGTTTTTGGGAATTTAGATCATTTAAATCATGTGCATCTTTCAGAAATCTAATCATTGCAGGAACAAAATCCTCGAATGACGTCCAATTGCAAGCTTGATCGCTATATTTGAAAATGTTACTAATTTTTCTGACCAAGATGCATTGTGACCCCCAAGAAAGTGAACTGAGCCTGGTTAAAGGATTCAGGTCCATATCTTGAAATTGAACTTTGTGAATACTGTCATTGCTTTCCTCTGATATCGCATCGAAGTTGCATAGTTTCTTAGCATAGGACACTTGACCTGCATCTGAAGATTCAGGAGATAAATTGCTGAAGCTGGGAAGAAGTAGATTATTCATTGAGCTGCTCAAGCTAGCGATCGAACTACAACGAGATTTCAACAAGTGAGCCCCTGCAGCCTCCATGCTGGGGTCGGGAATGCTAAGTCCATGTGTTGCACTCCACCTTGATATTAGGTCCTTCATTGTGTGATTCGGAGTCAAAGATAAGTTAGCCAATTTTCTTCTCGTTGTTGGACATGTATCATTACCTTCAGCAAACCATTTCAGTATCTGAAATCTTTCATATGTTCGTCCAGATGCAATTACAACGGGCTCATACATCAATCTCAAAGACAAAGGACATTTAAACTCATCCGGAGGTAGAGAGCTCCTCAGAACGTCCATTTCAGCATCATCAAGTCGACATCCCAAACGAGAGTTTGCTTCACATTGGTAAGAGTCTTCCTGCTGAAGAGAGCCATTCTCTGTTTGCTCTGTCACAATTGATTTTCCATGCTTATTAAGGAGCTTCAGAAATATCGATAAGATCCTCCTTTTTGATGTCTCACTCTCACCAACTCTCTCCAGAAGTTTTTTTATAGATCCTTTCTCAATTGAAAGAGCTTTTAGAGATGTGATATGAAGCTTCGACATAGCAACTTGAATTGCCTCAAAGGCATGTTCTTCAGCTGAATCTGTTGTATTTGCATATCGGCTAAGTAATTCCTTTAGAACCTTCCCTGCCTCCTCTTCAGATGGGTCCAAGCTGAATACCACACCACTCAGTTCAGCGATCAGTTGTGAAATCTGCAGCCAGTTGCACCACAGGCTCATAAATACACTTAAATAACTGAAACACATCAAGAATTATGCAATCAAGACCACAGGAATAGAAAATATGCATAGATGAACCTATCAAGGGAATGTTTTCTGACTGACCTCCGCAGCCAGCGCTACTGGAACCTGATTTTGCACCTGGCTTAAGCTTTGCTTAAACAAGTTTCTTGATTTCTCACATCTTGAAAGTATGGAATCTCCTGTTAGCGCCTGAAAACACAATACAGATTGTTGTTCAGTGAATGAAGACAATAGACATAAGAGTATCATCATAATTCGTTCATAAAGTCTAGATGTACTATAGGTATCATACATACACATAACTGCATAAACCGAAGGACTGTGTTAGAAGCATGAGACGATACTTTGAATGTGCCTCTAACATCCCACCCATCCCGTATAGTTGTACACTCTTCCTTGGACTAACCTAAGCTACTGACCTCCAAGGAAACATAAACAAGATGGCATCAAGAAAAAACCATGTATATTGATCTAGAATGGAAATTCCACCAGATTTTAAAGTTTTGTACCAATCTACCAATACCTAGGAGATATACTTTACAAAAACAGCCAAGATGAAATTAGTCGGCTGCACACAAAGTATAGCTTAGCTGGTAGATCTCCCATTATTTTTGAGATATATTTAACAAAAACAGTTTAGTGTAAGCTTATTTGGAAGATAAATTTAACACAAACACTTAAAACAAAACTGGTTGGCTTAGCTTGTTCCAGAATGCATACCAAGTACAGTTTACTAGATTCAGTGCAACGCTGACACAGCGTCTTGGCTATGTCAATTTCAATGTTCAACCGGCAAAGTGCCTCTCTTCCAGAAGAGCATCCAGGACGGGCTGCTTCAATTTCAGGAAGTAATACTGAAACTCTAGTTATAAACTGAAATAGCTTCATGCACATTAGATAATGCACCTGTCGTCATCATAACCAGCAGAGATATTGAGTTAATTTCGAAAAGGGAAATATAAGTTTAAGACTTACAGAAAACAGTACCGTGGTATGGGAGAAATGACATTTGGAGAACTGCTTCATTGCATTTAGAAAACTAACAATGTTTCAACGACAAAAACCCCAGCCAGCAGAATTTTCCATTGAGGCAAGAATCTTTTGTTATAATTTCCAGTTCCCTTTATAGAATTCTAACTAGGACCTCCTCCTTTTTTTTTGACAACTGTGGCAGGTACCGTGTACACCAAGACTTGAACAAATAGATTAGCATTTTGCAGTCGGAAATTGAACCAAAGAACCTTATGGTTCTCAACCTATTTCGTAGAGTCCTCGGCCACACCCTCCGGTGCCATTCTAACTAGGACTATTGACATCTTCTAATACTGGGAAAAGCCTCTAACTTTAACTATGTAATTAACCAAGAAGTGGAATTAATAACTACTTGTGCTAAGAAAAAGCCTACTTTTAGAGTAAGCTCTCTCATTCCACTAACAATATAGGAGCAAAATTTCTCATCCATGGGGATGCAAAAATGGAACTAACGCATATGGAAAAAAAAAGAGAGGAGCTTAGTATTATATACCTTAATAGCACGATAAGACTGCGGCGTCTCACTTACTTCAGAAGAACCACTCCACATGATGATTTCTGGTAAAAATGAGCAGAAAACCAAGTGTCAAATTTAACATAATACTAATCTCTTTATGATCAGTTGACATAGTAGTAATATATACTATCAACACCAAATAAATACAAAGTGAAAAAAAAAGAAAAGTGATTGTCAGCTACAAATCAAAAACAGAAGCCTTGAAATTACAATGAACTACAACTTTTTTGTGGTAATAACAAAATCCTTCAACTGTTCAAAGACAATCAGAACTGTTCATTTCTCATAAACACAACCAAGTCTCTATCCAATTACAAAGCTTTCCACAGATAGCAATTCCAAATATTGAAAACAATGAAACTATCAAAATGACCATCAAATTCAGAATTTTACCAAGAACTAAGCTGACAAAAAATTTCAAGAATTCTCACTCCAGAAGAGAAAAATACAAAACCCCCTTCAACACAGTTTCAGCAGTTTATTCAAAACTGAGCCAAATTTCACATTTCAGAACATGGGGTTAAAAGAAAGATATCTCTACTTAAAAAGATCCAATTTTTTTGCTCAAAGTTCAAATTTTATACAAGTCATTTCATCATTCACTTGGTGGGCAAGAACAGAAACCCCAGAATCAAGAAACACATGCGCAAGAAGAGAAACCCCACAAACAAGAAACACATTTACTTGCATTTTGCTATATAACACATTCAGCTCAGCCTTTAATAAGCCCTTCAAAGTACAAAAATCAATTGAAAAGACTAACACAAAATGCCAAAACTACACAGAAAACAACCTATTGTGACATTGGTCCGTCAATGTGGTAAAGGCAATAACTTTATGGTCGTCGAAGACTTATATAAAGTTTCTTTTTTTTCATTTTAGTTTTGTATATAAATTATTGATAATGTTATATTAAATTAATGTAAAATATATTATTATATGATTTAATAAAATAAAATAAATTATAAATTTAAATACATAACATGTAAATATTGATTTGATGTGAACCTTCGATGATGCGAGTAAATTTTACCCACCTCTCACCTTTGAAATTACATTTATAAAGGTATGATACTATACTATCCTCTTTTTAGACTTCAGTATTATATGGATTTAATATTACTGTGATATAATTTGAATTTCTAAAGTTGAATATAAAAATAATGATAATTTATTCATAAAATTTTATAGCGTATAATTGAAGTATAAAATTTTAAAATTATGTTAATTATTTTTTAAAAGTCATAAAAACAAATACAATATTCAGATATTTTCTTCGTTTATTTTACTTGTCTTTGTTTGACTTTACAAACTTATTGTGAAAAAATAAATATAACCATACTTATTAGATTTTCAAGAACGATTTGAAGAATAATGTAGTAAAATATGAAAAAATTATTATTATTATTACGAAAAAAATGAAAAATCTATTTGAGAAATAAAAATAAGTAAAATTAAATAAAGAATATGTGTTTAAATAAGAAAATTATAATGAATAATGACAGGAATAAAAGTAGCAGACTCTCTTGAATGTTTAGTCAACAACACTGTTGCTAGTGATTTAACTGATCATATTTCCTTTTTGCATGGTTTAATATTGCATAATATTTTATTTTTTTTCTTATAAAGATATTTTATATTCAAAATGTTAAAATAAAGAATACTTATCCTTTCAAAATGATCTTTATTTGTTAATTTGTAAGTTGATTCTTTGATTGGAATTAAAATTTATTGTTTATTGCTACTTTATATACATTTTTTTTATTGTGATTAAAATTTATTGTTTAATATTGTAAAAAAATTTCATTATATACCAATGAAGTCTCATTGTTATCTTATTATTTCTTTCATCATTTTTCCTTATGAAAAGATTTTTAAAGATATTTTAATTTTAATCAAAATTATTGTTATAATATCAAATTTTATAGAAAATAATGTATTTTAAATATATATATATATGTGTGTGTGTTCATGTGGACACATTACTTACTTAAAATAACGCAATATTTATGATGTCCACATAGACACATATATACCTTTAAAATATAATATTTAATAGTAAAAGTGTAAAAGATCTTTTCCAGACTTTGATGTCGTAAGTCGTAACAACAATTTCGATCATAGTTAATATATTTCAGACACTTTTTCATTTTTCGTTACTTATTAACTTTCAATTGAAATCAATATATATATATATATATATATATATATATATATATATTAAAAGAGTGCTATGAATTTTAAAGAACCTTAAGCTATGACAAGTACTTATAAAAAAAAATTGACTAATCAATTTTGTCACGCTTTGGATAGAAACAACAGGCGTTTATCTCAACTATATTTAAGTCATTTTTTTCCTTTTAAATTTGGTGGTGTTTCAAATATATCATGTCAATTCAATCCTATATAACACAAATTCAATCCTATATAAAAACAAAATATATTGTGTGAATTCAATTTTGTTTATTGGTTTGTTTAAAAATTGATGTAATATATTAAAAAAATTCATTCAATATTTAAATTCATTTCGAAGCTTCAGTTAATTTGAACTTGTTACTCATGAATCTCCTAAGACTCATTTACTAGGAAAGCAGTTTCTAACAATTTTTTGTTTTTTATACTGAAGCTTCAAATCCAAAATTATTTAATTAAAATTGAAGAGATAATATTAACTGAATTACGACTCATATTATTACAACTTATATTATTTTTTTAATTTTATTTTATGACAAAGAGAAAATCGTAATTGCTATTTTTTGGATGGACACAGGTAAAATCTGTATTCCTATAGTCCCACATAGGAGAGGTAATATGCACTATGCAAGCCCGACGTAACGAGCTTAACTGAGAATGGCAAAATCCTTGTCAATAGCTCACAAACCACATAGAAAAGGTAATCCACACTAGACAAATTCATTTCGACGAGCTCAAATCCAAAAGACAAATTCTTTCAAACGAGATGAAAATCCCATAAGTCTAAACTATTTGATCATTCCGAGGATAACAATGACTTTATATTTTGAAACGTCATTAGAATTTTGTATAATTTTAATGAAAATCCTATGTGTTATGAGGTTACTTAATATATATAAATAATTTATTAAAAATTCATGTATTCTAAGGTTTTAAATGAATCTTATTCTCATGAGGAAGATTCCAAACATGTAGTATCAATAGCTTGCAAATCACGTAGGATAGAAAATTCGTACTATGTGAATTCGTTGTGATGAACTCAATTCAAAAGGTCAACCCCTTGCCTATAACTTATAAATCAGATAGGAGAGGTAACTCACACTAGACAAACCCAGTGCGATAAGCTCGACCCAGAAAATAAATCTCTTTCTTTCGCTAGCAAGGGATTTTGACTTGAGACCTCTAAAATGAAAGTCTCAAGTCCAAACCACTCGGTCATCCTGAAGGGTAAAAACTTTTTATTTTGAAACGTCTTTAAAATTTAGTAATTTTAATATAAATTCTATGTGTTATATATATATATATATATATATATATATATTCTTAAGGAAATTATTAAATCTGTGTTTCTGGTGGAGACAAAAATCTTTGTGATTTTATACTCCTTTAAGTCTGCAATTATATTTTTATTGCTTACTTATATTATATCAATTTTGTTTATCAGAAATGGAAAACACTGGTGTTACAGTGGCTGTTGCTGCACCAACCCGACCTCTTGTATCACAAGCAGAGAAACCGGGTAAATTCACAGGTGTGAATTTTAAAGGATGGCAGCAACGAGTATTTTTCTGGCTTACCACTCTTGGTCTGCAGAAATTTACAAGTGAAGATACTCCAGTTCCTGCTGATGATATGCCAGACAGGGAAAAATTTATGATTGTTGAAGCATGGAAACAGTCAGACTTCCTATGTAAAGGTTACATTTTGAGTGCTTTAGAGGATGACTTATATAATGTCTATAGTGCAATAACAACTTCAAAAGAGTTGTGTAATGCACTTGAGAAGAAATATAAGACAGAAGATGCATGCTTGAAAAAGTTTGTGGTCGCAAAGTTTTTAGACTATAAAATGACAGATAGTAAAACTGTTGGATCACAAGTGCAGGAACTTCAACTTATTCTCCATGATCTGATTGCTGAAGATATGGTAGTAAATGAAGCTTTTCAAGTGGCTGCAATGATCGAAAAGTTGCCTCCTTCGTGGAATGATTTCAAGAATTATCTAAAGCACAAGCGTAAAGAAATGAAGCTTGAAGATCTTGTGATTCGGCTCAAGATTGAGGAAGATAACAGAAATGCCGAAAAGAAGTCGCGTAAGAGTTCAACAATCATTGGAGTTAATATTGTTGAAGAAGCTCCTACCAAAGACAAAAAGAGAAAGAAGTCCAACGGGCAGAAGTCAGAACTGGCCAAGAAGAAATTCAAAGGCAACTGTTATAATTGTGGCAAGGCTGGTCATAGATCTTCTGATTGTCATGCTCCAAGAAAGGACAAAAACAAAGGCAAAGGCAAAAATCAAGCAAACATCGTGGAAAAAATGGAAGATGCAGATGAGTTGTGTGCAATGATATCGGAGTGTAACTTAGTTGGAAATCCCAAGGAGTGGTTTCTCGACTCAGGTGCCACTAGACATATTTGCTCTGCAAAAGAAGCCTTTGCAACATACACTCCTGCTGAGTACGATGAAGATTTATTCATAGGAAACACAGCAACAGCAAGGATTGCAGGAACTGGCAAAGTAATGTTGAAAATGACATCCGGCAAAGTGTTGACTTTAAACAATGTTCTGCATGTCCCTACTATTAGGAAGAATTTAGTTTCTGCTGCACTACTCGTTAAGAACGGGTTTAAGTGTGTCCTAGTTAGTGATAAAGCTGTAATAAGTAAGAATGAAATGTTCATAGGAAAGGGCTATCTCAATAAGGGTCTTTTCAAACTAAATGTAATGGTTATTGACAGTATCAATAAAAATTCTGCTTCTGTTTACTTATTGGAGTTAAGTGATTTATGGCATGCACGTTTGGGACATGTAAATTACAAAGCCTTGCGAAAATTGGTTAATTTAGAAGAATTGCCTAATTTTAAATGCGATAAGTCGAAATGTGAAATTTGAGTGGAAAGTAAGTTTGTTAAACATCCTTACAAGTCTGTTGAAAGAAATTCTAAAACTTTAGACTTAATTCACACAGATATATGCAATATGAAGTCAACACCATCTCGTGGTGGAAAAAAGTACTTTATAACTTTTATTGATGACTGCACTCGATTTTGTTATGTATACTTGCTTAATAGTAAGGATGAAGCAATTGATCCATTTAAGCAATACAAAAATGAAGTGGAAAACCAATTGAATCTAAAGATAAAAATGATTCGGAGTGATAGGGGTGGAGAATATGAATCTCCTTTTGTAGAGATATGTTTGGAATATGGTATTATTCATCAAACTACTGCACCTTATACACCACAGTCAAATGGTTTGGCAGAACGGAAGAACAGAACATTAAAGGAAATGATGAATGCCTTAATGATCAATTCTGGTTCACCGCGAAATCTTTGGGGGGAAGCCATCCTTACAGCTAATAAAATACTCAATAGAGTACCCCATCGAAAAACACAATCAATTCCATATGAGTTGTGGAAAGGAAGAAAACCCAACTTGAAATATTTCAAAGTGTGGGGGTGTTTAGCCAAGGTAGAGGTTCCTTTACCTAAGAGGGTTAAAATTGGACCCAAAACAATAGATTGTGTCTTTATTGGGTATGCTGTGAATAGTAAAGCCTGTCGATTTTTGGTTCACAAATCTG